GGTCTTTTGAAGATGCGGGTTCTGTTATGTGTTCGATTTTGGTTGATTTGTTGATTGTTTCTGGATGGATTAGGTGTCCACTCATGCCTTCGGTTAGGTTGGCTTTGAAACTAACAGTTATCATGGAACCTTTGACTGGGTGTGTCTGCTCGCCTACCATCTACACAAGGGCGCTCAAAGCGCTGATCATGGATGTCATTTCCTTTTTCAACCGATCTACGCTCTTCGGTATCAACAAACTTTTGAGCTCTCTTATAAAGCTAATGTAACTACTCAGTTAACAAGTACTTGAGGTGCTCGTGTCTTACCCCGGACATGAGTCTTGAATGGCCCATTCAGCATTCAAGTACTTGATCTCCAATGTAGTTGCATTGAATCGCTTCAAGTACCATCGCAAAGATTCATCTAGTTTCTACTTTACAGCAAGCAAGCTCGTAGAAAACCATACAACAGCTCTACTGTTGAAAAAATGGGCCAAAAGTTGATGGCTTAGAGTGTCAAAACTATCAATGGTTGCAGGAGCAACTGAATAGAACCAGATGTGTGGCCCGTTACACAATGTGGTTGGAAAAGTTTACATTTCATTGCATTAGAAACATTGTGAAGATCCATAAAGGTTTTCAAGTGGTCCAGGTGGTTTTTAAGGTCAGTAGTACCATTGTAAATGATTTTTAGGAGTTTTAAGGGTAGATGGCTTTTCTACCATCTTCTAGCCACTACAGATTTTTATTTTTGGCTTTCTTAATATCAAGTGTCTCCTTATGGAGGACAGCGACCCGTATGGGCCATGTTCCTTGTAGCGTCTTCAGGGTGGTATGTGTCTTCCTCAGATAGGGTTGAATACATGGTGGTGTTGGGTGGGGTTCTCTAAAAGAAAAAACAAAGCTTTCTCTATGGTGGGGTCTTTCTTATGCGGGTTGTTGGAAGCATGTTGATGGTATTTTTATCAGTTGTTACTGGGTGGCTACCTAAGCATTTAATAACTGGATCCGGGTTGTTAAGGATTGATTCAAATCTGGGGGGTTTACATATTTATTACAGGTGGGGAAATTTGTGGGGGTGGAAGTGTGACTTGAACAATGGATGTTGCAGGGGGTATATTTTGCCAATTAGTGGCATTTACTACTTGGGAAACTGTATTTGTTGTGTTGGAGGTTGTGAAATTAGTGCATACTAATGGGAATGGAGGTTGGGTTTTGGGGTCTAGCAATGGTAGTATATATGGGGGGAGTAAGGTTATAGTTGGAGGTAAAACTCCCATTAAGCTTTGAAAATTGTTAACAGGTTGTCTTGTCCATTCACTCAACAACATAGGGTTACTAATGTAAAAGGATGCAATATAATACCTCAGGTTCTAGAAGGGTAAGGTCGGTGATGGTATCGATGCTGAAATAGGTAACAAGGTAGTAGCATCAAAAACAGCTGTAGGTTAAGAAGATGTTTAGATAGCTAGGGTTGGAGGTTCAGAGGAATAAAGAGAGACAATGGTTGTCATTTCCCACAGATGGCGCCCTATTGTTGAAGGTAATTCAGGCAAAGGTGAGCTGAATGATGAGCTAGGAGGTGAGTTGGGAGTGATATGTAACTACAGCAAAGAAAGCACGATCAAAGGGTGCCAGAGTTTGGTCTTTGAGGTGCCCTCTAATGCTTAAGTTAGCAAAGTGTATGGAGTTAAGGCTTAGGAGAAAGAAGATGAATTACAGAGAGTATTGAAGAAGTTTAAGGATGAAAGGTTTAAAATAATGAATATGGATCATCTTTTACCTTATATACGAGATATAAGATGTTGATGCAACGTGATTAGATAGTAGTTGATGAAAAATTTTTGAAGTGTTCAAAAAAAATTTAAATAATTTAAAGTGAGTTACATTTAATAAATTCAAACAAATTAAATTACTATAAGGTAATCCGTTGATAAGACGATGAAAGTGTCAAACGAGCTATCTTCACATAAGTGAAGAGTTTCAAGTTGGAAAACAACTCTTAAAATACGAATTTTGTGATGATGAAAACCTTAATCGATGATCTTCTTGAATAGTGACATGACAATCGAAAACTAGTTAACTTAGCAAGTATATAAAGTTGATTGGATAATTAGGCGTAAGAAAATTATATTTCTCGTCTCAAGTTTTGGTTAAAGTGTAGTAATAATTTGAACTAATCAGTTGCTTCAAAAATAATTTAACTTACAAACAAACTAATACGACGAAATATTTGAATTGTTTACTTTTTCGACACCTATGCCAATTCTCTTATTTGATGTTTGATGGGACTGAATGTAGCATTTTTTTTTTCGGTTACAATTGAAATGACGTCCTTATGAACATGTAATAAAATATTCTTTTAATTTTAAATAAATGAAATGGTATATTCCAATGAATTTTTTTAAGAGTGTAATCTGCTCGAGTTGATGTATTGCCGCACTCAAATTCAGCCCAATGTTTGAAAAATGGGATCAGAGGTAGAACTAGTGGCTGTTGTGATTCTGGATTCAACCGGTTCAATCCATCGATTCAATTGGCAGAGGATTTTAAGATAAGTGTTTGACTCTAGTATCAAATAATCAAATATGATAATTTAATGATATTGTAAGGTCAAAAGTTCAAATTTTACTATTTATAATTTTTTAATAATAAAAATAATATTAAAATTGATTTCAACATCATCAATTCTGTTTGACCAAATTCGATTTAACTGTTTAAATAGTTCTCTATTTAATTTGCCTTATCAAACAAAACATATCATTGACTCTCGGATTGATTGATCAGTTAAAGTTTTCAAAACTAGTTCAACTTAGATTCTAAAACTCGAGGATTGAAGTTTAATGGAATTTCAATTTTCCTATTTAAGCTCCCTTTGTAATGCATCTGAGCCACTTATATTCGCCTCCAAAGGTTAAGTAAAATTTAAAGAACATTAAATATTACATTTTTATCACTCATATATATATATATATATATAGTAAAAATAAGCCAACCTCTCATATTATATATTAAATAATTATTATTTAAATAAATCAAATTCGAATTAAATTTAATAAAGATTGAGTCAACCTTAAATATTTATTGACTCAAATTCAAATAGTTAAACTCACTTATACCTCTAAATATTACATATAATGTTTGAAAGATTTTTGAATTAGTAAACAATATACAGATTAAATATAATAGTTAATCAATTATTTAAAATGCTAAGTAAAACAAAGCTAGAATTAAGATTTAGCGAGGAGTAGTCAATTGTCCATAAAAAGGAGTCTGATTGCCTATGGCTTCTAAAGAGAATAATTGCTTCTATTAAAAAATTAAACTTGGGCAATCGCTTGCCCAAACGAGGGTTGTCAACTTCCCTACCTGAAAAATACTTACTGTTTCATAAATACATTAAGGCAGTCAAACTACTTTTGGAGTGCAGTCAATTGCCCAAATATACATAAAGAAAAATAATATTTACAGCACACTTTGAAGTAAAGTTGTTTTAAAGTGTGACTTTCCTTTAAACTTATCATTATCACCTCCTCCGTATTTCTCTAACATATAAATGGAATCATAATTGGGCAATAACATTAATTCGGGAAGGAAACATATATTGTGAATTAAATAAAATTGGATGGAGTAGTTGATTTACATAAGTAGGTTATAATTTTTGCAACCTCATCGACCTCTTTTCTCACCTTTCAGTCCCACTCTTCTCGATTCTACATAGCTGCATTCTAATTTTTGAATCATGGGGTGGCAATAAAGATGACATCGGATCAGAGCGGAATGAATAAGAAGATATTCATGCCAGTGGAGTAATGGAGACCTGAAGGTGTTGTGTTAATCCTTTTACTTCTGGAAAATAACAAAAAAAAAAAAAGCAGTTTAATTGCTTAATTGCAAACTAAATTTTGCACTAATTAAGAATGTGGCATTTAAATGCAATGAATGCTGTTAGGACTCAATTTTAATATATTTACTATGGAAGATGTGTTTAATATATAAAATTATGATAGTATAAGAAAATATAATATTATGAATATGATTAGTTTAATAATATTATTTTATCTTGTATTTGATGTGTATCAAAATTATGATAAAATAATTTATTTATTGGTAAAAATTATTTTTTTTCAAAGTTTATATCATTTAAATTATTGACGTAATTTTTAAAAGTATAATAAGATATATAAATTCAATTTTATAGATTAAAGATAATCCATTCTATTTTGGGAGCATTGAATTATTATATAACAAGAGGATAATTAAGTTTTCTTATAATCTTATCACTTTCTTTATATATAAGTCAAATATAAAATAAAATAATTATCATCATATTCTATCTATTATTCTATGCACCAAACATGACTATAGATCCTTATACAAAATTTAATCTAGATTCACTTTTCTCTTTGCAAATCAAAGTTAGGTTTTTGTGAAAGACACTTTAAAAATATATTTTTTAATACATATGTAAAAAAAAATACCCTTGAAATATTTTGAAAAAAAAATTAGTCTTGAACAAAATTTTAAAAAAATAGACTCGAGCAAAGTATTAAAATTTCGTTACAGAATAAAGATCCATTTATATAAATATAAATCTTATACTTTTTTTTTAATTTTTGGATCAAAATTAAATTCATTATTCATTTAAATCAAAATAATACTTTTAAATTTGATAATTTTTATTTAAAAATAAAAAATATAAAATTTATTACTATAATTGGATTCCTTCTCTATCATAGATCATATTATAAAAAAACCAAACATCACTCTTCATTTGTAGACGAATGTTAGCAACTGTGCCATTTAACAAATGCGCAAAAAAAAAAAAAAAATTTGGTTACCACTGAAACACAATATTTTTATTACTAATTGAAAAAATACTATAATTTTTCATAATTTTATACTATGCTTTTCTAGTTTAGCATAATATTTAAAAGTAAATGTAATGATTTAAGAAACTTACGAAAATGTCCTTGGGGGCTTGCAGCAATAGTGAATAGTCAGCAAACTTTCATTGTATACAAGGTAATTATGAGTGTAGAAAGATTTTTTTTTTTTTTTTTCATTGCCAAAGAATAATGAGATTCCCAATTTCCTCAAATAGTACTTTAACAATGGGATAAAAACAACCCAACCATTACACAGGAAGAATAAAACCTGTAGCTTCAGTTTGTCTATGTTCCTATTGTTTCTACACAAGGGGGACTAATTAGTGCAGTGGCTTCTTTTGGAGTTCCTTCAATGGTAATATATAAAACAGCATTAACTTGTAGTTCACTAAGGCTACTTGTAAACAAAGAAAAAAGAAACAGATGATGAGACGCAGTATGGCCGCTTCAACAAATTCCTAATCTGAATGTGTTGAAGCAGATAAATTCTCGGCGAGCTGCTTATCCTGCTGTTTTTTCAGATACCTCTGGGCAGTCGCATTGACAATCTTGACAAAGAAGTTCATGAGCATAAGCCACACAACAGTGTTCCAGATTGAAGCAAATGAGAAATCCCACTTTTCCTGCAGCAACATTTTGCAGAACAGATTTGCAAAATTTTTCAGATTTGACTTAGGAGGCTCTGTTTCCAGAGCGGGCCATAGTCAGTTAAAACTCAGGCTAAAATAGATGGATTTCTTGTACTGGCTTAAGAGAGTACCTTGATATTTGAAGGCACCGGAGGTGGGGCAGCCAGGTACTTCTCTTTGACTGCATGAAGTTTTTCTGTGAGTGTGGGCAAGAAAGAATCAAATCCAGGTATGAGACTGAGCGCCCAGATCAATTCATTCTCTATCCAGTCTAGGAGTTGATTATTACAGACAGAGATAATAAAAACCGTCTGCAGACAAAGGAATCAATCGATACTTATAAGATGCTTGCAAAATAAGAATCAGGAAAATCTAGATTTCATTAAGACAAAAGAAAACAGAGAAGTCAGTCTTAGTCTGATAGTAGTCAATTCCACTTGAATCATTTAAGAGTCGTGACGTTTTGGCCAAAGCCAGTACCAAAAGAAAAACAATGAAGTATAATAAGACCTTCAATTCAGGGAATAGAAACAACTTGATTCAATAGAAACAGATAACAGTGAAGTCAACTGTGGCTCTGCTTGTATGTAAAACACAACAAGAACATCACAAACCTGTATGTGAGTTTTAATAATTGCCTTCCCAATCAATGTAGCGAAAAAGAACTTCCAGAATGGAATCCCAAATTGTCCACACATGATGCCAGCAAGGTCAAATAAAGGATTTGGGACCTGAAACATGATTCAGTTCATCAGCAGGTTTACATAATAATATCAATCAACAATGGCATATACAGCATTTATAAACGTTGTCAACTTATATGATCTTTAAATGAAGATAATTAGCAAGGCTTAGTTCACAAACACCATTCAAGTTTCTCTATTATGCTTGCACAACATAATACAACACTTGATAATTGACACGTGGAAATTTTCACATTAAATATATCTTAGCAACAAAAGCTTCTAGCTTGAAAAAATTTTACAAGGATTCATATTGTCTTAAAGTAGGATTTTACTCCAGATAAAATGCATCAGAACATTGATATTTTTGGGCCAAAGTGTGGGTGAGGGTGTAAGTGTGCGTCTTTCATGCGCATGCAAACAAAAAAACAGGGATAACATAGTCAGACAAACAAATGTGCACTAAAATGAAGAAGTATAATGCTGCATCAGTATTTTGCATTGCTCAAAATGTTGTGCTATGAAATGAAAACGATGAAAATTATAACTGACCGAGGCAAGCACTAAAATGGTGAAGAAGTTCAAGTGTTGGGAGTGGGATAACAGCCAGCGTTTGATCTGTCTCAGGTGAGTAGCTATGACTCCATTATCCTCACTTGAAGAAGCATCCAATTCTTCAATGGCATCAAATTTGCCACCTGATACGCTTGCTGCATAAAGTAGAAGATCAAGGTAAGAGAGATATTTTAATTGTATAGAGTACTAGTAGAAAATCTAAATGGAAAAAAAATCTTCAGTCGACAACCAACATTCAGACAAAGAACAGCCAACAGGTTTGAGCTTTCATCTAGAAAATTCAATAACCTACCAAAGCAGAGTCAGAAGTTTAAAAAAAAAAAAAGGCAACTATATTGCAAACTCAAGCAAATTGATCAAGAAACAACATTTAGAAACTTAAAGTTATTAATCAAAGTAAAACTGTAAACATGAAATCGCATTTTTATAGAGGGTTATAGAAATAAAAAGGATGGGCTTCATAATAAATGGGAAAAAATGGGATCAAGGAACTCCTTTGCATGGTCAGTACCATTACAATGTTCAAACCCATTCAGTGTTATATCACTTATGTTGATGCAAACAAGACTGGGGCCTCTTCCAGAAATGTCCTCACCAGCCTACCTTAAACAAATTCTTCTAGCAAATCTTGTTACTGTAATAAAATATATAGTGTAAAGATGGTGCTCAAACCTGCCCTTGAGATAAAGTAAGGAGGAAGCTCTCCAAGTGCAGTCCCAAGACCCCATAAGATAGCCTCCATCTGCACCTGCGGCAATATGCTGCTAATAGGAACCCTTGACCCATGTGATGATGAAAACAACGGAGGCCCAAACTCTCCGCAGGATTTGTCCAGCCATGAAGGACCTCTCTTCAACAGTATTGTATCATATGGAGCACTTTTCAGGTCTATTCGTCCACATTGCATTGCTTTTATTGTAAACAAGGCAATATGAGGACCCAAATAGAGAACAAAAGTGTGCAGACCAGATCCTGGAATAGGAAAGGTGAAGTAGAAAAGTAACAAATCAGATCGAGGCATATTTCTTCTGGCATCCCAAAAGATAGCAATAAAATAAAAGAGCAGTGTAAATGCATAAAAAATCAGATTCCAGAAAATTTCCTTGGCACAAAAGTGTGCATAGCAGAAACCAGACATTGATTTGCCCCCTTTCATCCCCCTAAAATGTTTAAAACACATGGGTACACCATACACGACAATCTTGGAAAGAATTTGCTACTTTTTGGACTAGATTTGGTTTAAACAGATCAAATAACCTAAGCCACTTTAAAATTTAAAAAACAGCAATAATTAGAATGAAACCCATCTAAAAGAGTAGACCTACACTTCACTTAAGAAGAAATTGCATATTTCCAAAAATACCATTTGACATCTGCTTAATCAGCCAGTGTTTGTAAGAAAGAGTTTAAATAGCCTACAAACCATACTGACATAGAAGCAACAGAAAATTGCTAATTAATTCAAATCATGCACTATTCATCAAGCATACTCCCCGAGACAACATAAAGGATCTTCGTGAAATCAATGTTCTTACCAAGACCAATTGAAGATGCAACACCAAGTGCAATCCACCATAATCCAAACCGAACATAATGAGAAACTTCCTCAACATGCTAATGAAAAATAATCAAGACATCAAATGTTAATTATTGTTTCCACTAATCTGGTCACAATAAATGATGAAGAATTAGAATGAAACAGAAATTATTTCAACTAAATAATGTGCACAAAATTACCATAGAGAACAAAAAGGTTCAAATATATAATTCATTAAGAGACAATAAGAACCAGCACAATCCTCCCCTCCCCCCTCCCTCCACACACATACACACACAAAACGAAGAAGAAGAAGAAGAAGAAGAAGAAGAAGAGGTCACGGAAACAAATTAATAACGAGCCATTTGCATCTCTCAATTGCATAGCTAAATGTAGCAGATAGTGCACAGCAATCAATAATTCTAAACAAATAAAAACCTTCTCAGCTACATACAGATGTACACTGTACATCAACAGAAAACCATGAAAAAGATAAAAGTAGTAGGATTACCTACAAATTTGATTACCTTTTCATGAGGGCCCTCAATAGTCACAAGCAAGATTCCAAGAGCTGCTATTAGAGTGCTTAAAAGCATAAGCCAACCACCCCTTGCCAAAAGATATAATACTGATTGCTTGAAGTATTGAAAGATAGCCTGAATGAAAAGCCTTAATGTTTTGAAGGGCTGTGTTGTCAATGTTAAATTTTCTAATTCTAGCCGATGTCTTTCACGAAGATCTGCAAAATTTAATAAGTTTATCAGCTACGGGTCTAGAAGAGCTCCATAACATGACATTTTCTCTTTATACAGAATATCAAAATATTATCGAATATGTCTGCATAAAAGAAACTGTCATATCCACCTCTAATTCATTTACAGAGGAAAGAAATGCAATTATATGACAAAAACAATAAACATTCCTGTACTAACTACTAGGTATAGAAGTTCTATATATTATGAGAACAGAATACCACATAAGCAAATAAACTTAAAAGAAAACATTGCACTCGCCAATATTAAGAAATAAGGTTGTCGCTGTCAACTTTATAGAACATTGCTAGTACGGGTCTGCACAGATTACACAGATGGCTTGCTCATAACTCTACATAAATTTGATTAAGAAAGTCATCCCCCTTTTCTCTATAAAATCCAAAATTTCAACAAGAATAAGCAAACCAATTGATCTATATGTATCAGGTTGACTCCTGCCTGCTCAACTAGAAATAGAAGAGAGAATCAAGCCATGGATTCTTTCAACAAGGGAAGAGAATTTTGAACCAATCCTATGGAGGGAGGTTAAGATATCCCACACTTGTACAGAAGCTAGAAGGGTAAGCCATAGCATTAAAAAAAAAAAAAAATAGATGATTCAGTGATTTCACCCAACCCATTTTACCACCAAATGGTAGAGAATTAACCCAGAAAGAAAATGTATACATGAATGTGTGTATATCCATCATTTTTCTGGGCACACCAAAATAAGTCATAAATACCTACACCATAATCTCCAAGCACCGAGGATCATAATCTGCACTCAGTTTACTTCTATTTTCTTTTCCCCGGGAAAAATCACAAGACCATATAACATCAAAACTCCCAAAACCACAAGTTGCACTTACAAGCCACCCCTCAAGATGGAAACTTTTCGATCCCATGATTCACAAATGCGGCCACCATATGATAAACCCATACTTCCCCGCTAAACAAAGATTGAACAGAGATTGAATCTTCCTCAAATTGACAAAGTCTCATAACCATAAACACTTGAAATCAAGCTACACAATTTCATTTTTTACTTTACGCTGCTTTACCAGCATATGAAAAAGCAATCTTTGTAATGTAAGATGCACAAGCTCAAAACTTTCATGTCCAAAGAGTATTCAACAATTGCCTTTTCCCAAAATCTATTTTATTTTTAATCCTTCTCATCATTCAGCTCATTTCAATCAGTTTTACAATTAAACAATCCATTTATAGAAGGACTCCGTTTTTTTTTTTTTTTTTTGCCAAAGGACTCGGTTAACTTAATGATTGCTTTTCGAAACACTTAAATCAAAATTAATCTAATTAATAAACTAGAAAATTTCATAAAGGACAAGTGATCTAGGAAAAGCCCAACTTGATTCGAGTTCTTAAAATAAACTTAATGAGGAAAACAAAACCCAAAGACACAAAAATGAAAACTAAAGAGTAACCAAAATCAAAATTTCAGGAGGAAAAAAATTATGAAAGTAAAAAAGCTTGCCTTCTATAGACGATTCCATTTGTTGAGAAGAAGAAGTCGCGCCTTTGCCTGACCCCATCTCCAAGCTCAGATACTACAATCAAAATTTTTCTTTTTCTTCAATTTTTTCAATAAATTTGAAATTTTCGTCAATATCTACAGCTTTTGGTGATAAAAAGCTTTGATTCTGGGCAAGAATCAGACGGCTATAATCGAATTACTTGAAAAGGAATAAAACATTTTTCTCTTCAATCACGAAAAATAATATCAAAGAATTTTCCTTTTTCTTTTTGAAAAAAAATTGTAGAAAAGAAGAAGAAGAAGAAGAAATCAAGAGAGGGGGAGTAATTTTTGCGTGTAGATCTCTTCTCTTCTTTACTTTGAGCTTTTCTCGCTCCCTTCTCTCTCTCCTTTTAGAAGAAATCAAGAGCGGGTTTTAACTGATAATAAGAAAAAAAAAAAAATTTTGGCAAAAGGTTAATTGGAACGATAAAATTACTTTGTTACTCATTCCCGTAACAATTATTAAATATATGGCCAAATTTGTTTTCTTAACGATAAAATACTATTTTCTTAACAATTAACGATAAAATACTGTTTTCTTAATTATTACTATCTTGATAACTTCTTCTTTTTTTTTTTTTTTTCAAATCCTTGTTTCATTATACAAACAAAGGATAATAAAAGGATTTTTTTTAATTTCTAATCTATTTTTAATTTCTTTTATTCTTATATATACCATTAAAAAAGATATTATACCATAATTTTTTTAAAACTTATAACTTTTAAACATAGATTATATTAATATATTATAAATTTAATAATTTTATATATGATACGATGTTATGATACAAAAAAATTTATATATAATTTTATTATAATCATATTTTATATTTTAATCATATTAATACGATTAAGATAGATATTATTCATGTCGTATTCATATTAAATAATAATAATGTGTTTAAAATATGATACTATTCATAATATAAAAATTTTAAAATTTACTTTAATTTATTTAAAAATAAATTAATAATTGTATATATCATATCATTTTGATGTTTAAATATATTATAAATTATTAATTTTTAAATAATTTTATTTAAATATTAATTTAAATAATATTTTTTATTTAAATAAATAGATTAATCGTGTCTAATCATATTATTTATATAATTATGTTAATCATATCATGTAGTGTCAAATTATTTGAGTAATTAATAGTATCTAATTGTGTTATTCATATATGATCATATTAATTGTGTCGTATTAATTGAGTATAAATCAATTTTAAATGTATTAATTATTTTGTGTCACATGTAATTTGTACAATAAACATGTTATATTTATGTTTAAGTTATTCGTATGATTGATATATTCGTATCGTATTTATATCAAAATTATTTATATTATATTTAAAATCGTGTCGGACACAAAAGACATGATGATCAAATTTTCAAGCCTAAACTTACTAATTAATTGAAAGAAAAATCGATTTTCAAAAAACTATTATAATTGTATGTTTGATGAAAATATGATTTAAAAACAATAATTAAATATTAATAATATAGATAAAGAGAAGACAACTTGATTTATCTGATAGTAAAATGTAAAATTTTTAGATAGTGGAATGTTTAAATTTCATAAGTAAGATTAATAAAACGAAACATAACTCTTAACAGTATAATAAAAAATAATTATAAAAATAGAATAGGTAATACTTTTTAATTGTATTTATAAAATTAAAAATTTTCACTTAAAAACAAATCCTGTAATCTCTAACAATTTTAAATATAAAAAAAAAATTAAAACAAAGTGGTTGTCACATTAAATTTGTGCAATTTGTTTAATATGCCAAGAAAATTTGTAATTAAATTATGGATTCGGATAAAACGCTGTAGCATTCAGCATGAATTACGTGTTTCTTGTTCCAAAATTCATGTGCACATAAAAAAATTAAAAATTGCAATGAATTATTTTAATATTTTTTCCTTTTTGGGGTAAAAAAATCATGGAGATTCATAACAAATGCCCCATATTACGGGCAAAGTCAAGTTGGAATGGTGTGTTGTTGTTGGTTTGCCAAGTCAACAATTGCAGGCAAAGCCAATATTTTTTTATTAATTTTGAATGGTTACCTTGGAAAATAATCAAAGCTCGTTTGCCGACCAAACAAATGTCACTTTCTGCTACTGTCCATATCATTGTTATTAGAACACTGTTTTGGGTTTATTTTGATTTAATAACTGCAATTCACAACCATCTAATTATAAATATCAAATTTCGTGGACTTAAAACATTTTTAATTAGGGAAAATATTTTATTTATTAATAATAAAATTTTTAAATTTTACAAGTTGAACTAACAAGATAATATATATCTCCTAAAATATATTAAATAATTAAAAATAATATTTATCAATCTATTTAATTATTTTGTAAAATAAAAAAAATTTGCTCATAATGTATAAAAAACAAACTAAATTAATTACTAAATTATCAAATGTCTTTGTTAAAAATAACAGAAATAAAAAAATACTCAAATTTGATGCAATTACCATTTTTCCTTTTTAAAATAAGTCTAGGTTAAAATTTTGAATATCTTGAACTTTCTTATATATACCAAAATAATTAAAAATAAATAAATAGCATTACAACCCAGATAAATAATGCAGACCAAATTTTTAAATAAAGCAAATAGAAAATTCAGTGTAGACCACATGTTAACGAGATTTGGGAATATGGTACATGTTATACCGACAAACATATTTGATATCCTAACTTTATTTCTTTCATGGTTTTTCAATAAAAAAATAAATTTAAAGATATTGTTTTTAATTATTTAGAAATTGATGTCTATATTTTTTATATATAATATAATATATTTTTTATTGTGACCAACGGAGAGATTAGCCAATCAAAAGCAATTATTTTGCTAATGAAGCATGTGCCAAGGAAGATGCCTGACATCAAAACCCATTTATTTCTGATTTTTTTAGAACATTTTTTAATGTTGAAAATTTAAGCAAGGAATAATAAAGATACTCTTCTTGAAAGATTAGTCTTTAAGCATATGTCCTTAGTTGGTAAATCCCATTTACATACACAGATTACAAAATAAATAAATAAGTAATCCTTTTAATTTAGATTTTCACCTTTCCTCTTCATTTTTTGGTGATTAATTAGATTCAAAAAAAAAAAAAAAAAAGGTTGTCAAGAATTATAGACTTTCCAAAATGTAAACGAACCAAACACTTCAATAATTTAATAATTATTTTTACCAAAGCAGCAATCGTGAATGTTAACAAGAAATGAGAAGAAGAATTATTGTTATAAGTTTAAGTGATAAGATTTTGAATTATTATTTCGACCGAATATGCCAAAAGAATTTAGGCATCTATCTTGATTCTGAGTTTATGCTTCCAATTTTTTATGGGTTGGACTTCTTTTAATCACTCTCTTCTTTTTATTTTCATGATTAATTTATATAATTAGTGGTAATCTTTTTTTATTTTATAAATTTACTAATATGACAAAATAAAATTGTTGATATAATAAGGAATGAGTAATGTCTGTGTAGCACAAACTATTGAAAAATGTCTAATAATATTTGAACTAAAATATCTAATCAGATATCTAAAATTATAATTCATCTATCAGGTTACCTCAATCTTAAACATAGTTACAAAAAATGTTGACTTTATCATCATCCAATTAAATGGTAACACATGTTCAAAAAAAATGCGATGCCGTGTATAAAGTGGTGTTGGGTAAGTACATGTGTGTGCTCACACGATATTTTTAAACTTTTAATTAAAAAATAAAATTTTTTTAATTTTTTATTTTATAATTAAAAAAGAATAAAAAATTAAAAAGAGAAAAAAGGGGAGAAGGAAATCGAAAAAGAGGGAGAAGAGGGGAAGGGGTATGCCGACGTAGGTCAACCATCTCAGGATGGGTTGTGGCTAATCTGCCTCGAACTATGCAGATCTTCATTGATTTGCCCGGTTTGAGATAGATCGGCCTTGATCCATCGTGAATTGGCCGACCAAAGCTGACCCCTCCCCTCCCTTGCACTCTCTCTCTTTCCCGTATCCATCTCTCTCCTATATTTTCTTTCTTTATTTTTTATTTTTTTAATTTTAATTTTTAAAATTTTTTATTTTAATTTTTTAAAATTAAAAAATTCATATTTTGATTTTTTTTAAAAATTTCCAAATTTAAAACTTTTAATTTTGAATTTTAAAAAAATTATAACTTACTTAAATATCAAATTTTCATTGATTGGCTGTCATGTTACCAACTTTAATTACGATATTAGGTAATGGAGTCAATTGATAAATAGATTGAATGATAAAATATCTGATTATACATTTTTTTTTAATTCAAATATTACATTAGACCTTTTTCATTAGTTAAGGGCCATACAAGGCATTATTCCAATAAAGGATTAAGGTTAAAGATTTTCCAAAAATTTGCTGTTCTAATTGAATTTTGCCACTCTACAATATTATTTTGAAGAACTTTTTATTTTTGAAATAAAGTAACAGAATTGATGAAAGTTTATAATGTGCATTAAAATAATATTCCGTGAGACATTATAATTCCTTACTTTTAAAAAAAAAATAATATTTCGTGATATGTTCTGATTTCGTTAATTTTTTCTAAAATTTAACAAAATTGAAAATACAACAACAAAATTTTCCATTTAAATTAAAAAATTATTCTATACATAATTCTAAGAATTTATATTTAATATATTATTAGTACATAAATTTTATGCATTATCAATAAATCAAATGATATCATCTCATTAATGAAAAAATATCAATCTTTTATTAAAAAATTAACAAAATTGCATGTTTGATGATAAAATTTAATAAAATTAAAATTTACTGTAACAAATTTCAATATTAAATCATAATATAATGATAAATTTAACATTAATTCCGTATAATGATCAATAAGAAATTATAGACAAGGAAAGTTTATAGGTGAAAGAAAAAAGTAAAAATCTAACTGTTTTTAACCTTTAGTGAATGAAGAATTTGCCAAACAAAAGAAGAGAAGTGATGAACTTTCCAGGAAAATACTTTTGTAGTTGAAGGGGGTTTTCATCTGTTGCCTGGATTGTCTGTCTCTGTTGTGAATGGCATGTGGTGCTTTTGGTCCTATCTTCTTTAGTCTGCTCAGTTTTTTCATTGCACAGCAAAGATGTTTGGTACAAAGAAAAAGTCCTTTATTTTGTTTGTTTGTTTTCTGTCAAAAAGAAAAAGTCCTTTGTTTCCCCTTTCCATTTTTGTGGAATAGCTATAAGCTGATTTTGGTTGGAGTATCAGTTAGTGGGTAGAAAATGGGAGGTACCAAAGAAAGGGACGTATGCGTTGGACTTGAGCATCTAGCAATGCTTCATTGTTTTCTCATTTGAATAGACCTTTTTTTTTTTTTAAATCAGCGCCAAGAGATTTTTTGAACTTTGCATAGAAT